TTTAACTTGTATAAAAAATTATATATGTTTAATTTGAACAGAATAATTTTTATATTTAAATTTTAGGCTTCGATTCTCATTTTTTTTTTCAAAATACATTCTTCTCTCTTCTTTTCAACTACACAATTTTCAATACAATAATATAATACGTATTTTCAAAACTTTTCCTTATTTTTAAACACACATTCTCTAGCAAATCACTATTCTAAAATGCGTTTTTTTACAAAAATGGACATCAAGTGAGCTCTTAATATTTTATTGCTATCGACGGCCAACCATTGCCCATGATGACTTAAAATCCTGGATTCGCCTCCGCATGAACGTTGAAATTTGCCTACTTAGATACCATATTGAATGAACTCATATAAAAGCTTAAGCCCATAGAAAAGGAAATCATTTAAATTTTCAACATCTTTTTCTTCTCGTCTTTGCTGGCCAGCTGCATCCCGTGCTTCTCATCTTTTACAGTCAGTGGAAGCTTCTATTTTCAGAAAGCATGTCTATCTCGAGGAGTACACAAAATTTGGTAGATCTTTTCTTATGTGTACTTAAATTATTTATCACAGTTAATCATTGTCTATAGATTGAATGCAATTGAAGTTGTGAAACCCAATTTAATACTCTCCAATAGGCAGGCATGCAATTTTTTCAGACTAATAAAAACTGATGTGTTATCATGGGTTATCTTAGAGCATGATCTGGAAATGCTTATAAAACAGTTTAAATTATAAATATAAAAATGTGTGATAAATAAGAAGACAATATTTGTGAGTCCCTCGAAATGTATAGTTAAACAGTAATTTTAGTTTTTATAAACCATTTATAAACATAAGCTTAGTGGAAAGGAACGCCTACTCCATGAGAGTGTTTGGACACCCTCATCATTTTCTTTTCTTCCATTTCCCGTCTTGTACGGGCATATGTACAAGCTCCTGTTTGATTTTCATTTTCTAAAAGCTCATTTTCCCCCAAATTAATTTCAATAACATATTCTTCCAATGAAATGTTTTGCACGTAAATTTAAAAATTTTTCTTACCTTTTAATCAAACATCTTTCTATATATAAAAAGTGCCTATTTAACGAAATTTGTTGGTGTAACGGAAAAACTAACGGAATTTGTTGTTTTAACGGATTATGTAACGGAATTTCTTGTTTTAAACAGGCAGCTGCACCTTCTTTCAGTGTTTTTATCATAACTTTGTATTCTGATGTTCGATTGAGGCGNTATTATATAACGGAATTTCTTGTTTTAAACAGGCAGCTGCACCTTCTTTCAGTGTTTTTATCATAACTTTGTATTCCGATGTTCGATTGAGGCGATTCAAAATGCGTTGGAAAGCTAACCCATTTGGCTACAACTTTGATTCAGACATCATTCTCCAATTCGATCACTTTCTATGCCAAAAATATGTCTCAATATAACGGAATATGTAACATAATGTTTTGTTTTAAACAGGCAGATGTATCTTCATTCAGAGTTTTTATCATAACTTTGTATTTCGATATCCGATTGAGGCGATTCAAAATGCGTTGGAAAGCTAGATCA